TGTTTAATTTGTATATAAATGTTGATTATTTCTTTTATTTCCGGTTCTTTTGGCTAGTTCAATTTTTGCCCACCGCTGTGCACATTTTAATCCGATTGTTTTCAATTATTTCTAAACCTGTTTAGCCGCCCTGCTGCGTGCTCTGTGGGTGACCCGACGCCCAAGTTGCTCGTTATGCATAATTAAATTAGAACAACAACAATTACAATGGAGCAGTTACAGAAGCGAGGGGATTATTAAAATGTTTACATGCAGCATTGTCCAGTCTTGGGACAACTAAAAGAACGTCAGTATTTTCCAGTGAAATAATGCAGTTTTAATTGCATGTTCTCTCACATCACATTTAATGTTGCGACGTGCGGCATTCGAGCTAAAAGCCGTGACATCTATCGGCGTTAAACTGAAGTCGCCTCGCCTTTAAGGCACAAGGACAACCCTTTGGGCGGGCTTAAGATTGGTGCGACCATGTCGTTTGCCACAATCGATGTCGTTTATCTTCTGATTTGTTGCCAAACGAAGCAAAACAAATCACTTGGTCGAACGGCTGCTGCTTTGGCTCCGGCTCTAGACTGGCTCTGGCGAACAACTATGCGTACATAAGCCACATGAAAGCCGAACCGTGCCACGGAGCTGCAGCTGTAGACGTTGCTTTGACGAGAGATTCTCCCTGCTGCTGCTGCTGCTGTTACTGCTGCTACTGCTGCTAGGGGCACTGCAAATGAATTGTTGCCATTTTTCAGGCATCGTTGGCGTATGGCGCATGGCACCGTTGCTGCGATCCGCAGCCGCATAGCTGGCAATAAAGACAGCAACAAAATGGCAGCAAGGACAAAAGGCGAACGCTAAGGAATTCGGTAGGCATCACGCCGTCTTGTGTTAACAATAAAAGCACGCCCCACAAAAAAGGTACAAATGTTGCTGAAATTTATTAGAACGCATTAACCAACACACACACACATATGAGCACATACATGAATACGTTCGTAGATGGCTTTCACAATTGTTTTGTTTTCCTGGCGGGCAAACTTCTTGCCTTTTTTTTATTATATGCTGTCGCATATTCCATGCCTCGAAGTTAATCAGGATTTGTGTTGCCTTTTTAAGATAAATTAATTTGTGATCTGGCCTTGGGCAACTCCATTGAAATTTGCATAAATATCATTTGCCGTGGGTTGCATGTAAATCTCAGCAGGAAACATAAAAAGTCTATAGCTTGCCACACTAAGCTCCGCTCAGAGCAAGCAACCATTAAACTCTGCACTCGATAAGCAGGATAAAATACAAAAGCCCACACACACCCCTCGGGCACAAAGAGAACTACAAAACATTATTATTTCAGTACATTAATTTTGGATTTATTGCTAATGACGAGACGAAGCCAGAAGTGGGCAGACCAATGTCTATTTGTCAGTCAATGGTCGCCAGTATATAAGCTTGCCCTTACAACATGAACTCAATCGATTGCGAAATCTTAATGCATACACGAAGCCAAGACGAAAGAATCGATAAGTACTGATTCAGAGAGTATACGGGCAACTACTGAAGCTAGAGACTTGGAACGTATTATTATATTAATACTCTTAACTTATGAAATAGTTTAATTATTTTTTCTGAAAGCTTAGTTTTTGCTTATTCTTTACAAATCAATAAATTTATCTCCTTAACACATTGCAAACGGAATTCAGCCTGGTTTTTTACATATATTAAAGGTGGCTTAGCATTCCCATAAAGTATATATTCTTGATCAGGACATCTGTTCGCAGCGATCTCGTCAATCACAAAAGCTAGACTCTTGAATTTTGAAATGTATACTGCAAACATATCTTTTTTCGATAATTTATCGCATTTCCTGGGATCAATCGTTTGTTCGGTTTTTTAAGCATAGCTTGAAACCCCAAATGTTGGAGAATTCAAATTTACTTACTTCCTGTAATGAAAACAGCGATTTTTAATAGCTCAAATATTCCCTTTATGTTAAAAATAATTTGTCCCAAATTCCTATTTGGAATATTACATAGTTGCAGGGTTGTGGGTATCTATTAGTCAAGCCGTCTCTTTTAAAACTGCTTTTGACTGCTGCAAAACAATAAATAGTTTACTCTTTACTTTTCTGATATTGAAAATAATATTTTATAAAATCACACTTGATTAGGCATAGACAATAAAATTAAATATTGATTTAAAAAAGGAGAAAGAAGAAGCATGCTTAAATTAACGTTAGTACGTGGAATACAGTCCCTAAAAGGGTCATATCTTATCTCCTTACTCTCTTCCTTTAATATGCATCTTATAAAGTCAGATAATATTTATAATATTAAAATTTGGAAAAAGGAAAGTCCTAGGTTCGTTCTTACACATTAGTTTCAAACAAATTACACAGGCAAAAAATCTGTGTTGGGAAATTAAGTTCTTAACAATTTTAACAAACAGTAAATTATAAAAAAAACAAGTGTATTTAATCTTTTTCAGACCTCCGAGAACTGTTTATTACATATGTTTTGTTTTTATATTGCATTTCGATTTTGCAATGTTTATGGCTCACATTTTGGCCCAAGCTCGTAAATCTTTTAAAAATGGCAAATAGGCCATTTTGTGTTAGCATAAAAATTGGCCGCCGAGCGGAGAGGCCCCATAGCCGATCAATAAAACATTTATTTATATTTGTGCCTTAAGTGGTCATAAAAATGATGCGAATTCGTGTGATGAGTCCCCTGTGCTGGCTAATTAATATCTACGTAGGCATCTACAAATATTCTACAAGACGCACGCAAGCTCAACTGCAAAGGTTAGCAATAGGATTTACGGGACGTTACTCGGTAAATAAATGTAAAAATATGGCAAGCCACTGCCACTGCCACTGAAAACAAAAACACAAAACACAAAATAGGAAGAGAAGCAAGCAAAGAAACTTCCACGGAAGTGTCACCCGGAAAGTCGATTGGTTGCAAGTTCTGGCAGAAGCTCCAAGCTGTGAGTCAGTCTGTTGCTGAGCATGTATTTATGTAGCGATAAAATTAAATTTATTTTAACGCCAGCCAAATGTGAACCCCACACAGAGCCACAAAAGTCCCACGTCGCCCCGGACATTGCCACTGGCAGTGCTTGTGGGCGTATCATGTGCTCACATAGTCAAACATTATCGCGAACTTAGTTGCTCGTCGAAAACTTAGATGCCAATGCCTGGCCACGTTTGCCTATCCTTTCTCTGCAGCAGCTGTGGGCGGAAATCGCTTAAATTTGCTGTAAAAGATGAGAGAGATTCCACAACACAGGCAGGAAAAGCACCTGCGATAAAAGTTTCTGCGCCATTTTCCGCTTGCCTCGCTGAGGCAGGCATTATTTCCATGGCGCGACGCTATTCAATGCATGAGTCCAACAGGCCACTGACTAGTGACATTGGAGCGGACTAACGCCGCCCATAAACAAAATGTAACACCAAGAGAATCTAATCCTAAGGGGCGTGGCTTGTTTAATTAACTGTAGCCTAATGATGCTGCATTCCAGATCCAGAAACGAGCATAACCTAAGCATTAGGCGATCCATATTTTTATTTTTTATACCCTGATCCCATTGAACAGGGCAAATCAGGGTATAATGGTTTTGTGCAAATGTATGTAAGAGGCAGTATATATAAGTATATATATTCTTGATCAGGACGACAAGCCGAGTCGATTGAGCCCTGTCCGTCTGTCCGTATGTGTGAACGCGTGGATCTCAGCATCGATAAGAGCTAGAGCCTTGAAATTGTTTCTGTAGGTCCGTGTATAGCACGCTCATATCGTTTTTTTTTTTCAAATATTCGATAACTATTGTTATCGACTAAAAACCTGATTGAAATGCAGTTAATAAATTATATCTCAGACGTCTTAAGAGCTAGAGCCTCCAAATGTTGTATTTAGTTTTATGTATATGAAATTTTGATTTTTGTTGGATTTTGTTTAGTCAATAGTCTGATAGTCTGGGCAACTTACAAGAATATATAATAGATATATATACGCCTATTATTAGCGTGGCACATCATATAAAGCTTTGCCTTACAGATTTTTAAACCTGGAACCCTAAAAGTCTTCCTAAGTATTAGAGCGTAGGGCTCAACGACAGTTTCCGTAAATCCCTTTTAAGATTGACCAAAATCAATACACTTTTGTGATCGAATGTAACAAATCAGGAAATCGGGACTTTTATTAACAAATATTTATCTACTACAGTAATGCAGCTAAAATCGAAAAAATATTGCATGTAAATACACGAAATATACCCTATAAATTATATTAATTCATTTAATTATAAATATTAATTTTCGAAGACATTTAACTGATTTTCAAGCACGAACGAGCATTACGAAGCCGATCGCGGGTGACTGTAACATTCTTATTTGTATTTAATTGAATTGAAATTTGTTTATAAAATTTATGTTTTTCCTATATATCTATGCATAAAGAATAGTATATTAAATCAAGGGTGCCAACAGATTTGTGATTCTGTCGGGAAGAACTTCTGTGTACTACATGTTTCTCGATGCATATTTAAATTTATATTTTTTCCAGTCTACTCATCGAATTATATAAATACATGAGCACAGGTTAACCATTACAATAATCTATCAAACTTAGTACATATCGAATTACTTAATTGTCTGAGCTATAGACTTTAGCAGTTAATTAAGCAAATAAACATAATTGTTGTAAACTGTGAATATTGAATGACAATAACGCAATAAGCTCGCACCGTTGCTATTCTAGAGCGAATGAGAAGGGCGTAATCTGGAGGGCTTATCGCATATATATGCGCGTTTATATCGCTGAAATAGTAGCTATTAATTAAAAGTCTTAATATTGTATTATATTGATTTTTTGTGTTTGGATTGATTGGCTTAACAGAAGCGTGTTTCACTAAATGGTAATTGCCTGCGATAAGCTGATAATATACAAAAACAGCGTAGCGAACCGTGCGTGAGTTATAAATATAAATAGGATCAATGGGTTCCTGGTAGTGCGCCAATGACAGGCGACAAGACAGCAACTTCGCGCGTCTCCTTCCACCAGGAGCGGGACCAGCAGAGCAAGCCGACCCCTGAGCAACGCAGCTGGCTTAGCCGAGCTCGTAAGAATCAACCGCAATGGAATGCACTCGGGGCTGGCTCGCTCATCTTCGTTTCGGGTGGCATGAGCACGGCCTGGGGTGCCGGCTTTGCAGCGCATTCCATGTATACGGAGCTGCTGAAACGAACGTTCCATATGCAAATCTGCTGGTATGGAGCAGCGCTACTTGGAGCCGTAATAAGCGCCATATTGACCCATCGTACCCCACAGCGCCCTGTTTATGTGAGTCACTGGGTATGCACTCGAAGTCATTAAGCTAATCGATATATGTTTGTCAACAGGTTCTGAGCTCTTGCCTGGTGCTAATCTGTGGCATGCTTTACTTAACGCTGCCGGAGCAACCAAATGCCATCATTGCAGCCCGCTACTTGGATGGCTTTGCCAATGGCTTGGTCTTTGTTCCCACCTTAACCACAGTTGGCGAGCTATCTGTTTGTGAGATGCGGGGCGTGTTTTCCGCAGCCCTCGAGCAGATGAGCTACAATTTCGGCATCTTTATCCTTCTCATCTACACTGCCATCTGGGAGAGTGGCTGGAATGTGACCGTGGTTGCCGACCAGGCGCATGGCCTGCTAAGCATTATTTTTGGAGTTGTAGCCCTGGCTCTGGCACTGACCTGTTGCGTCGAGTCACCGGTGTATTTACTGCTGCGGCGTAGTGAGCAAGCTGCGGTAGATGCTCTGCGTCATCTGCAACGTCCATTCGTGGTGACGTGCGAAACTTTTCTGCTACTGGACGAGCACAAGCGCTACGTAGTTGCCAATCGAGGCCTGAGTTGGTCTCAAAGCATCCAACAGGGTCTAGTGCCATTGCTAAAGATCGTCGCACATCGCTCACTTTGTGCCCTTAGCCTTACTCCCATCGTGTGGAGAGCTCTGTATGAAACAGCTGTGGGGCTAACGCCTCACTTTCACACCTGGCCCTATGCGGTCTTTGGTACTTTGCGCTGGAGCGGCTCCATCTGTGTTGTGTTCTTGATGGACTCCGGGGGCCGTAAGAAGCCCTCGCTATTTGGCACCTTTGCTGGCGGCGTGTTTGCCATTGCCTTTGCCAGTTTGCTTGACCGTGTGCCTCGCTTGATATCCGCATTGATCATACTGTTTTTCTTTCAATTTTTCGCTGGTGTGGCGCATGCAGCTTCTGCTGTCTACCTGACAGAGGCTTTTCCATTGACATTCAAGCCGTACTTTGTGGCGCTCGTCTACATCATTGAGCTGATGATCAAGATGGTCTTTTGCATATGCACTCCAACGCACACGGACATAGCGCTCTATTTTTACATATTAGGGGGATTATCCTTTAGCTTCTTTCTGCTAGGCATCTTTTGTTTGCCAGAAACGAAGCTGACAACTCTGTCACAGGCTCAGCCTAAGATACGAAAGTGGTTCAATGAAGACTTCTGAATTTTGATCTACAGACTAAGCTAATAAAAAAAATTGCAAAGCAGAAAACAATGAAGATGTATCGACAATATATTGTGTATTTGAGAAGTGACTAAGTTTCATCGTATGACTCATTTAAATTTGATTAAGTTAATCAAATATCATAGCGCAGCGCGGCATCACTTAGCATCGAAACAGAGTATATGGTGTTTAGTAAAAGTAATATTCTGTGGTGCGTTGCCTTTAATAACAGCAAACACTTTACATACTTAATAAATTACCAACATTTTAAGTGTTTCGATTTCCAATTAAGTTAGGTTAAATGTCTTAGCTTATTTGTATGAACAACCTGATAGGCTTTGTTGTCACCAGAACGCATTACAGAATGTGGTTCTGATTTCGAGCATTCGGAGCTTATCAGTATGGAGATAAGCAGGTGTTGAGCTTCCCTATCGATTTCGTCAAAAATTCAACAAAAAGTACCTGACCGTGGACTTGAGCTTTCAGTTGACACCGACCAGTGATTCCAAACGGTTGAGGGTGGTTCATTGATAACAAAATGAACGACAAATATCTGCCACCACAGCCACCGTCATACGGCTTCACTTCGGCACCACCCGATGGGTCTTATCCGCCGCAAGGATACCCACCACACGGGTATCCACAGCAAGCATATCCACCAGGTGGGTCTCAGCCGCAAGGATATCCACCACAAGGGTATCCACAGCAAGCATATCCTCAACCAGGATATCCTCCTCAGAATTATGCACAGCCACCACCAAGCTTTGGGGCCATGCCTCCACAGAACTATGGGCCACCACCTCCGCCTCACACCTACGGGCCCACCCCACCACAAGACTACGGAACAGGCCAACCACAAATGTCGCCGCCTACCTTACTAATGGTACAACCCGATGGCTGGTATAACCGAAACCAGAAGAACAAGCCCCAATCTAATGCCGCGGGAGCGGGTAAGTTTAACTGAATCATTTCAATTTAGTCAGCTGGTCATAAAAATAACTGCTGATAAGATGTGCTGTGCCACTCAACGATGTAGTTGGCTAACGAACGTGGGAGCTTTTCAGTTATCCACTGATTCTCGGAAATCTGCTACAAAAAGTGATTTATAATTCCAGCTTCACTCATCTTCTTATCGGGTGGCATGAATATTGCCTGGAGCATTGGCTTTCGCAGTATATATTTTGCCGAAATTCCTTTGCATACGCGCGTTGCATGGTTTATTGGCGCCATAATTGGAGGACTACTCAGCGCGTTCCTGGCTAATAAAATACCGAAGAAAATTGTCCTTGTAAGCACCATCGAGTACTTGCCTTAATTTTTTAATTTCACCTTACATTCTTCAGTGTTTCTGCTCAGTTCTCGTGGGGATCGGCGGAATCATAATGGCAGCCACGACTTACAACATCGAAGCCGTTGAGGCGGGCCTCTACCTGGATGGTATTGCCAATGGACTAGCGTTTGCACCAGCGTTGGCATTGATCGGAGAGGTTTCAGTGCCCTATATGCGTGGAGTGAATGCTGCGACCCTTGAGCACATGTGCTACATGCTTGGCTACTTCCTTCAGGTAATATTTCTGTCAACGTGGAGCACATCGCTCAGCTCGTTTAATGCTGAAAATATGCACGGGGTCCTGGCGGCTATCTATGGAGTGATTGGACTATGCATTGCCTGTTTACTGTGCATTGAGTCGCCAGTGATACTGCTGGCGAATGGCAATGAGCAGCAAGCTCTTGACGCCTTGCGGCGTCTGCAGCGCCCATATACGGTGACAACGGAGACTGTGGCACAGCTGGAGGAGCACAAACAGTATCTGGCAAAGAACAGGGATATGTCCACTATCCAGAGCATTGTCCAGGCCTTGCCAGCGTTTGTGTGTCTCAGCTACCTACGCATCCTTAATGCCATGAGCCTTTGTAAATTTGTCTTTTACGCCCTAATCCTAAGCCTTTCGCCTAGCTCTTCTGTATATTCATATACTTGGCAATATTTGTTATTTGGTTGCTGTCGCTGGCTATCAAGCTTCATCACCGGCTTTTACATGGAGTCCGTCGGGCGTAAGAAATCAACGCTACTAGGCCTCCTGGGCTGCGGAGGCATAGCAATTGGAATTTCCACATTAATCTACGCCTTACCTTATATAGACTTTGATACTTTGTTTGTCTTTGTATGTATTTTCCAATTTTTCGCTGGCATTGCCTTCACCGCCACTTCTGCCTATCTGACTGAGGCATATCCTCTTGGCGTTAAGCAACATTTCATCGGGTCTACCTTCATTGCCGAAATGGTAATCTATATCATCATTGCGTCTACGGACTATAGCAAGACAGGACATGGAATTTTCTTTGCCTTTATGGCTGGACTTTGCTTGATTGGTTCTCTGCTGGGCATCTGGTGCCTGCCAGAGACCCGCAGAACTACGCTACGTGAAGCACAGGATAAGTTTAAGGGTTTCCTGGGCAAGGGTTTTTAATTGATAAGCAAAACACAAGTAAAACATAATATGTAATACGAACTTTGACAAAATTAACGATTCAAATATAAAAAGAAATTAATTTAATCCTCCAAAATACCAGCAATTTTTCTCTTAAGCTACAAGAATTGTCGAATTGTGAAAAAGCTCACAATTCATGATTAACATTTATTATGAATCAGCATCTATAAATGTCGCTTCAAACAAATAAAGCAATATTCAGTGGGTACTTCCCCAGCCGTCAAAAATTTTATAGGTTTATAAATAAAAATAAAAGGTGCTTTTAGCACTTATCAAAAAAGGGCGTGGATTCGCCGTAATTTGTTTCGTAGCACAATAAAAATAGCAACGAAAAGGTTGATCAACTCAGTTAGCATTTAGTTACAAAGCACACGGCAACGAGTTTTGTGGCAAAGGCCAAATGAAAAGCGACAAATTTTTGGTATCAGCACCGCCAGAGTAAGACTTCGTCGGCAACACTGGACAACCAAAGTCCTAGTTATTCTCCGCAGGCAAATGATGAAATCCAACACGCCCAATAAACATTCTCAAAGCAAATGCAGCCTCAACCATTGCATCAGCATCGCAGAACTGTGCACCACCTATAGAGAGGCACACGGACCAGTGCCTAACCACTACTGGGGGCAAAATCATTTACATCTACCAGCAGCAATCAATGGCTGCTTTAACCAAGCTCAAACCTGTACGCAGCTTAGTTTACCCGAACCTTTGTGCGAGCAAATTTCTATTAAATAATTCGACATCAAAATTGTGGCACATTACACATTGGCAGCGCGCTATCTAATCAGTATTATCTTTAACTATGTCTATTGAACGATTGAATGTAGATTAAGCCATTTCACATACATACATATGTACCTCCAAATATACGTATATTTTCTATATATAAACAATTGTCTGATTAAATTGCATAAAATTGCCTTGGCAAGCTACAAAAAAGATTAGATTAAGGTCCTACATTCTATGATTGTGTATTAAATTGACCTATCTGAAACTTTTATTCTTACTTTCATCTCAAGTAATACAAATATAGCCTGTAGCATTGCATGATACATGTTCCCGTTGCTTGGTATCACTAGACCACGCCACACACAATGCTCATTAGGGTCATTATCATGTGCTTAGATGCTTTGATGACTGCCGCATTTCTGAATGGCATCCTATTTCTAAGCTTATTGGAGAATTGCGTAGAAGGATTTGCGCTGCCACTGGGCAGCAGAGCTGCAACTTGAGCAGTTTTTGCAGTTATTGTATAGCAGCATATAGAAGCATAGCTTTAATACCGAGCATATACACAGATTCCTGGCCATAAGAGTTTATTAGTCAGTGGACAGGACTTGGGAGCCACAGATGTCCTGCTTCGCGTGCAACATGCTTCTGCTGGCAAACGTGAAGTTTATACACAGCTGGCGGAACATGGATATGCCAACTGAACAAACTTTCATTCAGGCAATTCCAGCCTTGCAAAACTTTGCCTACCAATCGCTCTCAATGACACCAGCGTATTCAATTTAATCTCATATGCCCTCTATGCTCAAGCCACTCTAACTACTCGGAAGTGAGCTTATCCTATATAAAATCAAGCGCCTGCGCATGCTTGTCGTTTGCCACAGAAATATATATAATATATATACGCATATATATACGCATAGATATTATATATATCTTTGTCGCGGACTTGATTTATTTTGAATTAAAAGTTGTATGTAAAACGCAAGCAAAGACAGTCGAATTTATTCTGTGTGACTGTGAAACACTAGCTTATGCAACGAAGTCTGTTGTGCTGTGTATGTGAGATCAAATTTTAATATTTGTATTTAAGCAAGGCAACTTCGACTCTGTTATGGTAAAGCTCGATTTATAACAGGAACAATAATAACCTTTTTACTGTTCTTGTTTCCTTTTTAAGGATTTATTCTCATACCCTTCTATTTTAGGCATATTACAATTCGAGCCTTAACTGAAACAAGCAGCGTTTAGTACTTTATTAAGACTATTTTTCAAATATTATAATAAAGCACACTGCTAAAGGGTGACGCCTCTATGAGAACTGTAATAAATATTTAAAATAAAAGAACTGTCCTTTGCTTAACCTAAGAAGTCTGAATTATCGATGCATTCCTTCACTTTCTACTTACCTGGCAGATCTTTCTGCCCTCCCCAAATTGGCTGCGAGTCACAGTAAGCAAACTGTAGTACTTGAAGATTTGAGTAGGGCATGGAAGAAGTGTGCAGGTTAATGAAATTGTTATATCGCAGTCAGTCTAAAATTGAGGCTACCGAAGTAACGTTGACTCAGGATCGTGGCGCATCCACGGAAGGTATAGAAAATGTAGAAGTGTATATATATATATATAATACCATTCTCATAATGACATTAAGCCAAGGTCTATATAGAGTCATGCTAATGAACTATCTACAAATAAAATATTTGTTAATTCAGAAAACTTGCTTTAATTTAAGAATACAAAATAGGCATATGCTGCCCTATGAAGGTGGTGTATCGAAAAGCATAAGTCACAAGATTTTATGAAAATAATAATATCCAAATTGTGGGGGTCAAGAGAGAGAGAGAGAGAGAGAGAGAGAGGAAATAACAAAGTTAGCAACAAAGTCTATGGAATCCCTGATATAGAATTTATTTAATCAACTTTCCCTTTCTTTTAAGTGTTTACCTGCTCAAGTATACAAACACGAATTTAACTATGTATATAAGAGAGCATTTGCTATCTATTGAACGTGTTCAAAATTCAATACAAATATTGATAGATAAGTGACTGGCTAAAAGGTTGCGCTGTGGACATTGCGATAACGATAACCACTAGCTCTATGGACTCTTAGCGTTTATCAATCGGTGTGACGCGATAAGGTATGGATAAGTAAAACAAAAACCTGTTCGACATCGAATCGAAAATATTTTGGCTCGAGTAGTGTTTTCTTGTGCCTTGACAGTGAAGGGCGTACACACAATAGTCATGGAACCAAGCAATGAATATCATCGAACGGCGTCACAGTCCACAGTGGGCTACTCACCACTGCCAGAGCCAGCTCGGGTGTCTCTTCCGCAACGCCAAATACTCTATCAACAGCCAAGCAGCTGTTGCATCCGTGATCTGCGCAATCAGCCTCAGGCAAATGCCTTGGGTGCCGGTAAGTTCCTAACAGGATTGCAAATCATTAGGTAAAATTCGTGGAACTACTTCGAACTAAGGAAATATTATATGCATTTCGGGACTACTCATTATTTTTGTCTTGAACATGTTTCACATATGCTGATAAGAAACGCAAATTCTGATGACTCAGAAGCAACACAAATTTTATAATTTATAATTTGTTATTTTGAACGCATTCTTCGCACAGCTGCTCTAATCTTCCTGTCGGGCGGCATGAACATCGCCTGGAGCATAGGCTTTGACAATCTGGCAGACGAGTTGGTAATCTGTATGCATCTACGGATTTCCTGGTTCATCGGCGCCATCATCGGATCTCTACTCAGTGTGCTCTTTGCCAGGTACCTCACCTACAAATTACTAATGGTATGTATATGGTTGCACCTGTTGATAGGCTGACTGATAAGCATATCATTTCCTTGTGTTTAGCAACTCAGCTGTCTGCTCGTCATTGTTGGTGGTATTCTATTTGCTGCGACGCAGCTGTATGTGGAAGCCATGATGGCTGCACGTTACCTCAATGGCTTGGCGAATGGACTCGCGCTGCCCTCAACGCTATCCATGGCGGGCGAGGTGGTGGTGTTTTACAAGCGCGGAACTTATGTCTCCGCCACGGAGCAAATGTGCTGCACTCTGGGCATATTCATGCAGATTGTTTTCAGCGTCAGCTGGAGCCCAGACAATGATCTGACCGCGGACCAGCTACAGGGTGTGCTCTGCACCATTTATGGTGCTATTGCTCTGTGCCTGGCCACCGTATTTATTGTGGAGTCTCCAGTGCAGCTGCTGCGCCAGGGCGATGGCGAGCTGGCTATCGATGCATTGATCCGTCTGCAATATCCCAAAGCTGTCACGGCAGAAACCAACGATCAGCTAACTGAGCACAGTTCCTACGTGGCTCACAACAACGCGCTGAGCACTGCCCAGGCTTGGTGCCAAGCATTGCCTGCTCTACTACGTCTCTGCCTGCTTCGCGCTCTTTACGCCATGAGCACCAGCATGTTGATCGTGTTCACGCTTACACTGGCCAGCACCAGGATCTACGGGCTCAGCAGCGGTCCCTATATGCTCTTTGGGCTTCTGCGCTTGGCGGGCAGCTGCAGTGGCGCCTTTGTGCAGGACACGCTTGGCCGGAAGCTAACTCAGCTGATTGGCTTCATGGTATGTGGCGCTGCGTCTATTGCACTGGCGACCAGGTTTTCGACTGAGGACTTTGTAAGACTACCGGACTTGAAGAAGGCTCTGTGGATACTTCTAATATTCCAATACTTTGCCGGCCTTGGGTATGCGCCCAGCTCGGTCTTTCTATCGGAAGCTTTTCCCTTGTCTGTGAAGCGCATGTGCATCGCCATTGCATACATCTTGGAGTTAACTATACAGTTAGCCGTCTGTTATGTGGAGCTCAATGTGCACACTAGTGGTATATACTTCTACGGCCTTGGAGTGTTCACGCTGCTCGGCTTTCTATTCGGCCACTGGTATCTGCCAGAGACAAAGTACTTAACGCTGCGTCAGGCACAACAAAAGTTTCGAGACTTCTCGTGAAGAGCCCACAGAAGTGGGCGCACCAAGACTTTCTACTATCTAATGCTACACTTACACGAATACCTTAGCTTTATAAGCAATACCTTCTGCACTTATTCCTACATATGTATTTATTATTAACGACTGATAACGACTGTAATACCTTGCAAGCTTTCAGCTCTCTTGCAACAAGTGTCTAATCAGCGGCCAATTTGGCAGCTAGTGCTCACTCGTGGCCATAGGAAGATAATACATTGAAAGCTCTCAAATCTGACCAAGCCTCATTAATTTCTTATTTTTGCGCATAGGTGTTATTTGTTATTTGTATTTATTCAATGACGTAAGCCAGCTGATGAGTGCCCGAGCGCTAAGAAATTCACTGACAATCAGAAGTTAAACAACCTTTAAATATTGTTATTATTAGTGAGAGCTGTTTGAAATCATTCAGCCAATATTGAGGCATCTCTGACAGCTGTGGTGCTCTGCTATGAGCACATTATAAGCAAGACTAAGACGACAGACAGATACTCATACATACTTAAACCAAACCGGATAGGATTTATAATAGGTCATATTAATATTGTATAAATGTAGACACAAATATATACTAAAAACAATTTTATTGGCCTATTTTTGATAAGCGACTATAAAAACAACCATCGCTATAAACTAGAGAACGGGCTAGAGCACTAAAAATAAAAGCAAGCAATAATCGACAGGGAGAAATGGGCAGGCGGAGAGAGAGAGGAGGAGCGAATAAGTGAGAGTGTGAGAGAGAGAAACTACAAGCATGAGCAAAGATATGGCTACGTAGATTGATAATACAATGTCACATATAAAACTTGCAATCAAAACATGGAATCTAGAAGACATACTTCACTTAAATAACAAATAAGTCAATAAATAAATAATTACCACATATCAAAATCTGATTGGATTATTCTTGATTATACATAAAGGGTATAGCCTGACCTTGCCCTAGTTTCATTTACATAAAATAGTGTGTTTCAAATAAATAAATATATGCAGCTGTGTTCATAAAAATAGTAGTGCGATTTTATGTCATGTCTGAATAAAGGGATTCAAGTCTATAGACTTTTTGACTTGCAAATAACACTAAACGTTAAAACTGTTTTACTGCGTTTATTTATGCTAATTGAAAAGTGTGCAAAACACGTCTGCAATTAATTTTTAAAAATTCTTTAGTCAGCTTGAGGGACATAATGCATTTATTACATTTAATTGTTTTTTCATGAGCTTAACATAAATTACGAGTGATCCGAGTGCTTGACAAGATTAATCTGATGGGATAAATAATATGCCAATCGCTGATTACCACATCAAAATGGAAGTTCACATCAGAACAGGAGTAAGCTAACATCTGTGGAATCACATCATATATTGTGAGCAGCGCTTGCTTAAAGTAATCCAGTGTAAATTATTTTTCAATACTTTGTTACCTCTGCGAGGCAGTTCATGAATACCAATTCATTTTATTAAGTTCTATTGATATAATGTGGCATCTGGACTTAGAGAACGAATGAGTATGATTTATTTATGATAAAATGATTTCGATTTTGCTCAGTGTAGAGCATGCGAAGTTCACCTTGATATCAGCACTGTCAGCAGTCTGAAAGTTATTTGGCGTTTGTGTCCATTCTGCCGCTTCTGACGCCTACTATTCAAATTTAATTAATTTATTTATATCCAGTAATCATATTGATAAGGGAGCAAGCGAAAACTTTTGTGCGTCTGTTTGTTCGCGTTTGGCGTTTATCTTATCAAAGCTTCGACGTTCTCGCCCCAAGCACTTCAGACAACTGCTGGGAGCGCTTTCCGTTTATCAACTGCACAGGCAACCAGTCGGTCAGGCGAACAGCAACTGCCCAGCTCTCAGAGGGCAAGTGTATAGAGCCGCGAAAAATCAAAACTCCATAAGAATATGTAACTCAGTGTGTGAAAATGACGGCGACGGTCAAAACAAGTGATAAGTTCTGCGACTGCTAGCCAAAAACAAAAGAAACCAAATAAACAGAATACAAACATACAAAATACCTGCGAGTGACAGTGCGAGGCACCAAATAAATCAATCTTGGCCAACTATACAATAGGTCAAAACAGTCTTCCACAATGCCTATACTGCCCACCATCGAGGAGGAGGGCAAGCTGTCTTGGCTGCGTCAGATGTGGCACTATCGCCTGCAGTTTCAGTCCCTGACCGCGGGTAAGGTTACGCCAGGCAAGGCAGCGATCGGCGATCGGCGATTGGCAATCGACGCTTGGACTTTATTCTCTGATTCAACACTTTCTATATCTGATATATCTGTATCCTGCAGCTGCGCTGGTGTTCGTGGGCAGCGGCATGCGACTGGCCTGGTCTATATTCGATACGCCAGCGGGCAAGTTCCTGAACAGCTACAGCACCCACAATCTGATGATGAGCTGGTTCATTGGCGCCGCGTTCGGTGCTCTGCTGGCGGCGCTGTTCGTGCAGCGCGTTACCAAAAACGTGGCCTACGTAAGTGCTTCTGCAGCAATTAACTGCTTATCTCGCTTTCATAAACTGATAAACTTCGACTCGTATTCGCCATTAGCCATTAGCCATTAGACATTAGCTCTGATAATCTCGCTGAATTCGGGGATATACCACAACGGGCTCTCTTTGTCTGTGCCATATTGATGCCAGTTCCTTCTCCATGAGCAACAGATTCGCTAAGCTTTGAAAGCCATTCTTATGATCGATAACTTGGTTCTTTGTCCTTGCAGACTTCTAGCGGCTTCCTGCTGCTTGTGTCTGGCATATTGAATCTGCTGCTGCCGCGGCACTTCATCGCCGCCTGCTACAGCAGCGTGAGCGTGGGTGCCGCGTATGGCCTGACTCAGGTGCAGGCGCTGGTCACGGGCTCGGAGATGGCCAACAAGTCGATACGCGGCATGCTGCTGAGCTGCGAGCGCATCTTCCTGTGGCTGGGCGTCTGTGTGCAGGTGTTCTATACGCGTGTCTGGTACACTCTGGAGCCGATGGAGAGAGGCCACACCATGCACATCGATCAGCTGCACGGCATCTTTCTGGCCGCCCTGGGCGTGGCTGCTGTCATATTGTCCTTGTCCTATCGGCTGGAGTCGCCGCTGCTGCTGTTGCGGCAAGACCGGGATATGGCAGTAGGCGACACGCTCAAACAGCTCAATGGCCACTCGCAGTCCGGCACTGAGCTGCTGCGCCTGCGCGAGGACTGCCGCCAGCTGCACAACACAATCGACTGGGAGCAGTTCACCGATGGCTCGCTTGACTCCTGCTGGCAACGTTGGGCGCGTCGCCTGGTGCCGCTGCTGAAGGTGCTCTTCCTGCGCTGCTTCGCGGCACTGGCGCTCTCGCTGCCTTACAATCGCGCTTTCCTGGTGGTCAGCTGGCATGGCCTCGAGTGCGACATGAACTGCCTCTACTGGCTGGCATTCTGTGGCCTGCTGGGCAGCCTGGGCGGCGCTTTGCTGGTGGACTGGCAGGGGCGTCGCAAGCTGTGCTCGCTGTCGCTCTTTGTCGCGGGCATTGTCATAGTCATAGTTGGCGGCGTCTTTGAGCATCTGGAGGCCGTCAAGAAGACCTACTACGACATCAATCTGCAAGCGATTGCGCTGCTCATGCTGCTCTTTGAGCTGGTTGTAGCTGCGGGTGTCGCTGTGCCCGCCCTGGTCTACACGGGCGAGGCCTTCAGCGTGGCACACAAGGCTAGGTGTTTGGCTGGCGTCCTCATCTTTGAGCAGGCACTGCATCTGGGCCTCATGGCGGCCGCCTTCGAGCACAACCTGAGAGATTCGGTCTTCTTCTTCACCTTTGGTGGCCTGAGCTTTGTCTTCGGGCTCTTGGTGTTCATGCTAATGCCCGAGACTCGCCAGCTGACGCTGTATGAGTGCCTGCTGAAGTTTAAAAAGCTTCCCTAGACTTAAATTGCTAATCGAGTATACTATCTCTACTTGTGTATCATTAGTGCACTTATCTCTCCTATTAGTAATAATTCTTCGTTCTATGTATATAAATAATCATTATTGTAAAATATAAAGGCGACTTTAGTTGGAAAAAGAATTGGCTTATTACACGGAAACTTTTTGGTTAACATGGGTTAAGTGTTGTTCACTAGGCTAAAGCTTGCTGCGCTAAAACTGGAGCTTTTTATAGCAGTGGCGAAATCCGTCACCAGTATTTGAAGTTCCAAAGCTTTCATTGGAATGTTCTTGCAAATATCCCGTTATTTTCATTGTAAACATTGTAAACACGTTTGCTTCTCGCTCAGCCGGCGTCTAGGCAGCTTTTACCCATTCAACTTGTACAACTTATTTAGGATTGGCATTGCCCTCCAATACGCGACTTGGGGCTTTCGTGAATTTAAGGCGTCCTTTGCCAGAGATTTCAGCACAGCCGCGCAGGAGTGAGGGAGACAGAGAGCGAGAGAGCCTGTGTGTGGGAGCGATAGAGCAAAAGCGTAAGACACATGGCACAAACAGAAATCAAGTTGATGAATATGGCGAGTGATGAGTTTGAATGGCACTCGCAGCAGTAACCAAAAAAGTTTCTGGCTGAATCGTCTGCTTAAAGCCAACGAAAGCTAAGAAAAGCCAAGGAAACAAGCAAAATAACTCCCCGGATAGCTCACTCGAGTGCTTTTCCATCTAATGATGCGGAAAATTTGTTCGCCCACCCAAAATGTAGATATCCTCCACACATATACATATACACACACATACGTATGTAAATACAGATACGCCCACACACACAGTCTCATAGAGAGTTATTATTGATATGCAATATTTGTGTTTTTGTTGCACTCATCTTCATTTTGGGGGCAGAGGGCACTTTGGGGTCTCGTTTGTGCATAAAGTGGCGATGGTTTCCACAGATGCTTGACTTAAGGATTGGCTTCTGCCTTCTGCCGTCTGCCTCTGCTACTGCTCTCTGTGGTTGTGTTGGCTGCTTTGAGCCTGGCCCAAAGCAAATATGCCCACAATTAGCAGTTGCGGTATAGGCCGATACTCGCAGGGCAATAACATGCGGCCAACAACTACAACAACAACATCGAATGCACCAACAACTACAGAGAAGCAGAGCGAAACGCCCTCGAGACTCAGCTCAGCTAAATGAAGCGTTGAGAATTGAGTTTAAAGTTATTTAATTTTTAATTGTATTAATTAGCGTGCACCAAAAAAAGTATGCAAACTTGCGCAAAATTTGTTTGTTTATGCAGATGTTGTTGTTGTTGTTATTGCTGGCGTTGTTGTTGTTGTTATGTACACGTTTCCCAGCAGCCTTGCTAAAAACTTTAAGCTTAAGCTAATTATACAGCCTGGGCCACAAAAGTTGCTACCCATAAAAATATACACGATAAGGCCAAGATGGTGTAAGTTTCATAATTGCTTAATGCTCATACCAACACCTACACACACACAACTACACACCCATACACACACAAACAATCACCTGCAACTGTTTGACTAAAGAAACAAGAATATTTTTGACTCATTTATATAGCTTAAAGCGGCCCGCGGTAAAGAATATATTACAAGAATAAATATATATTTAATATATTATATAATTATATATATTAGATATTCAATATAACTAAATATATATATATAATACAAAATACATATAATAATTATAATATTTATATACCTATTTAAAAAGACTTAAGTATTCCTCTCATAATTATATAAATAATATAATAAAATATATATTTAATTTATTAATATATAATTATACATATTAGATATTTAATATAACTAAATATATACATATATATAATAATTATAATATTTAAATACATATTGAAAAAGATTTTTCTTAAATATTCTTCTCATAATTATATGAATAATATAATAAAATATATATTTAATAAAAACAGCAACTAAACAAAAAATAAAAAAATTTTAATTTATTGTATATTTATTTAAATTATATATTTGCTATATTTATATATATTTGACATTTAATATAATAATTCAATATACCATAAATACATATTTAAAAAGATTTGTCTGAAGTATTTTTCTTATAATCAGTGCATTTTAAGGCTACTCTCAAGTCTCATTATAAAAAGCCTTTATTGGTATTTGATACATGAGTAAATTAGATATAGTTTGGTGCATTAGCATTAGTATTAGTATTATAATTCGAGTATTGGAAATTTAACTAATAAATGGCTTATTTAGAGTGTTTCAAAAGTCTTCTCAACAAAACACTGTGCTTAAGAGATGGCTCTAACAATCCGTCTGGCTTAATTGTTTCTGCTTATTTAAACGTTCTCTGGAAATATATGAGGTTTGTTTTGGTTTTCAGATGTGCTTAGCACCTGCGCTCAGCGACTGCAACGGTTCAAGTTTCACATAGCCCAACAAAGTTACTTTTCACACTGCATTGCCAAAAGCGAGCTACGCAAAAAGTACGTACCAAAGCCTTGTTTATTTGTGTCCTTCGTACACTAAATGAGATGAAGAGAGTTTATTCGTGTTATATCTGAAATTAGTTGGGGTGAATGCAGTAATAATATAAAAGCCAATATAGTCACAGTTAAGGAACATAGTTATTTTTCAGACAGATGCCAACAATTTTATTGACTTCGCCGTCTAATAATGAGCCTCAACTAATTATTATTCAGATATTAGCGATGTCTTCTAGTCGAGTATAGATTAGTCGGTTGCACCCGACTGCATAGTTTTTTGTTGTGTTTTTCTGTGCACAAAGTGAAAGCAATGCCAAGAGCTTCCAAACTTTGCTTTGAGCTGGAAATTTGAAAACAGTGGCCCACAAAAAGCATTGAAAATATTTAGCAATTCGTGCTTTGGGCGCTCGGAAGGCGACAGGACAAGGCCAACGCCAGTTGCTATGTGTAGATAATATCCTCTAGGTTTGTTGCTCTTCTATGTTTCAATTAACTGAAATGGTAAACGGCCATCGTAAACATAAATAGCTTTGAGATGCTTGGCTCATGCTGCGCTTGCCACATGTGGAGGGACGCGTGGCTGCAGCAGCATCTGTTTGAGCGACAAACAGCACAAGAATTGCATCTGAGCAAATCGTTCTGTTGCGGCTAGAAGCAAAAAAGAAACAATACAATGACGAGCAACAGTCAAGAAAATGCATTTCAATAATCCAAGAAAACGGACTAAACAACAAAGCCAGAAAGATGAAGGGAGAGACAGAGAGGGCGAGAGAGAATGAGTGAGTGAGTGGGAGAAAGGAGAATGCGCGTGCTGCCATCGTAAATGAAAAAAGCAAACAAACGTAAAATTTTATTTGTGCGCAATTTTCTATAAATTTTCATCGATTGCCATTGGGATATTGGCGACATTTGCGTTTGGCATTTTACTGCTTACCGCGTCCTTCACAGGCAGACACCCACACACACACCCACACACACACACATTATCATACGCATTCTCGCACACCACTGAAATGTTGCTTCTTTGCCACTGGATAAGGCACCTCTTAAGGTGTTGATTTTGCTACCATAACTCTGGCTGCACTTCTTGTTGGTTTGTTGCTGTTGTTCTGGAACGAAATTGGAAAACCTTGCACACAGTGAGTGTGTATGTGTGTGTGTGTGGTAGATTTCCAATCAGCTAGCAATACCGACAAAATATGAAGTTTCTTGAACAGCAAAAACGAGTGCAAATAAATTATGTTCGCTCGCATAGCGGAAACGTAAGACCTGTAAGCGGCAGCAGCAGCAGCAGCATCAACAGCAGCAACAATGGGTTCAGCAGCCACAACAGCAACATGGACATTGGCACCGAATTAATGTCTCAGCATGCCACAAAATGGCCAACGTGGCGGAATTTATGACTGCCGGAGACAACTCTAAAGTGGCCAACGCTGCGGTGTGACAATAAAATGGCGTCAAATTGCCATAAAAATGAAGCCTGAAGAAGGAATGAAGGAAACCCAAATCGTTGGCAAACCACAGCCAGAGAACCGCTGCCCATATAAAAGTAAAATAATAAATAAGCGCATAAACAAGAGCTGGAATGGGAAATGGGAAATGGCAAATGGCAATGAAGCCGCAGTCACTTACTTAGGCAGTAGCTAAGTCAAAGGGTTTCTGTCTGCCATTCTTTGCGATCAACTCATAAATTTAGCAACAAACGAAACAATTTGTACGCATTGCACCTCACATACCAAGTAGCTTTAATCCTTTTACCAATGTGACTTTGTCACAATTGAAGCGCAATCAGAAGAAATGACTCCTGCGAACGGAGCTTGAGTCAGATCGAATAAACAACAAATTGGAGAATGTTTTTCATATTGAACTACTGCTACTTACCAATTATAACCAGTTTAGCTTGAATTAAGAAATTCATTGCATTGAAAAGAATTCCATATGCAACCTCACGGCAGGGACTTGGTAAATGTAAATTAACGGTAAACAAAAAATACATAAATCTCTGATAATCGAAAGTCTTGAACTATATTAGCCGAGCTATTTTTATTTATTAAGCAGTTTTTTACCTGCTGGTTGACGAAATATCAAATGTTGTCTGAGCTCACTTTGAAGCGATATCAACGACAAATTTAAATTAAATTTAATTTAAGTTTGTTTAAATTGTTGTTTCTGCGTAATCTGCACAGAATCCGCTTATCTTCTATCTTAACAATCATTGAAGCCGGTTATATTTTCTATCCTTCATACCATCTGGACGTAACGACTAATTGACTGCACACTGAAACTACTTTACGTATTAACAAATTTGGTAAAAATATATTTTAGAGAATATTCAAATTTGTATACAAAATCTTTTTGAATATTCCAGATTGATGTTATCGATAAAATATGTTGAAATTCTTACTCTGGTAAGGCTATGAAATCCTTGACTTTTTTTGTTGGCCCCAGCAAGCAGCGCCACGCTTAACACTTTAAATATACTAAGATTTGCATATAATTTGCGTTTGTAAAGCGATTGCCGTCATT